AAATAATAATTTTTATTTATTTATTTTATTCCCCCAAAGCTCCAGTAGATAGTTGAATATCATAGTTGCACAGCCTTCTAGTTGCTTTATGTGGGACGCGGCCTCAGCATGGCCAGAGAAGTGGTGCGTCGGTGCACGCCAGGTATCCGAACCTGGGCCGCCGGCAGCGGAGCACACGCACTTAACCGCTAAGCCACGGGGCTGGCCCTGAACATGTATTTTATAATCAGGAAAAAATTATATTAATTGTCAATTTTTAGCATACACTATTGATTCTTTTTTTTTTTTTTTTAAAGAGTATTTTCCTGATAATACTTACCAAAAAACTTCCTTTTCATTAAACTGGGATAGCATTCCCAATCCGAGATCCCTACATTACAAAAATGAGCAACACTTGCTTCATATTTAACTGCACACATTTGCATCAGAGCCCTTTCACTTACTATCTCAAATGTGTCATTTCTCCTGCAGGCAGCAGTGGGCACTCTGCAACCTTCTAAAAGCCAACATTTGACTCCACTCCTGCATCTCTTCCATCCCAGCTCTTAACAAAGCCGCAACAGATAACAACTTAATGCCCACATCCAACAATACAAAATTGAGCATCTGGCAATGTTGATAGTTATGAAGCCTAATCAGTCAATAAACAACAAACATTTTAATTAAGGAATCCATTATACAGATTACAATTATCTAAACTACTCCAATCCCAGGGCGTTTTTATCAAACAATTTAATTTATAGCAAGTTTGACAAGGTCAATGGGAGAAAGCTCAGGAAATCTGGGGGGGGGGGGAGATATAAATCACACTCTAATTAAAATTATTCTCATTTCACTCTCAGCTGGTTCAAAAACTCACCCAAACAAACAAAAGAGTTTATTGCAAGGCCTTGACAGTGAAGTTAGCTCTGCTAACCTAACAATGTATGTGCCTACAAATTGTAGACCTGTTTGATTGTTTCTTAGTTATTGGCTTTAGGTATTAAAATGTGTCAAGCCCACATCAGTCACAGGTAGTCAGGAGAAACCTGTGCCCTGACTCACGTGTGCGTGGTGGGCCATCCCCTGGGAAACCTCAGCCCCACAGTGAAAACACAGCAGGCGGCTCTAAGCAGCCAGGTCTCTCTCAGCTCTCTGAGGGCAACACAACAACAGGCAGAGTGCCTCTTGATGGCTGAAACTACTCCTTCACACACCCAGGAGAATACAAAGATCACTAAATGATGTAAAAAAACACTCATCAACCAAGCTGACCTCCAAGGGCCACATCTCCAACAGAAACAAAAGGGTTTTTTGCCTGACACCATTTGGTGAACGTTTTGTTTTCTGCTATTCTAAAAGGCCAACTTGGGAGAGCAACTGAGAAAATGCAATATAAAACACATAGCAGGCTATCTCCTTGGGAACCTAAAAACCAGTAACAAATGAAGTGAGATCTCAGAAACACCGCCTATGAAACTTATTGAGCCATACTCTCATGTATTAATTTAGGCATTAACGTGTATGTATTAATTTAGGCATTTCTAACAAAGAGACTATGACCAAGGACTTCATCCAAGCAGATATATCAAAAAGCAGAATAAAATGTCAAAGGAAAACGTATAGGAGGGAAAGTTGAGAGTTTGGACACAGGATTATATTATTTCATATTCAGTTTATCAGTTCACACAATTATGAAATCTCAAGTAATAAACCAGTAAAGAAAAGAAAATACCTAAAAGCTTTGGCAAAATTTAGCTCATAAGATAAAACAAAGCAAGGGAGATAAAATTCTCTCCCCACTATCGCCTTGAAAAGAACACCTTGCAAAAGTTATTTACATGAGCAGAAGCAGCTGTTTCCCCAGAGCCTGGCATAATTAAAGCTCAGCCACCACCATCTGAGGTGCTTGAATACATCTGCTGTGACTTGCCTCTCCCCAAGGAGCTGGAGCTGGAACCGATTAGCCAGTTTCATCAACTCCGTCAGGAACACATCATCTTCCTTGAACTCCAACTCATCCGTATAGATCCAGCGAAGCATTGTCATTGTCACCTCAGGGTTAGCATCTGGTTAAAGAAAGAAAGAAGAGAAGCTGAAAACAAAGCACCAATGACACACTTAGGCCTTCTTTGAGGCCCCTAAAAACTGAAGCTAATAAAGTAAATTCTGATACACTCAACTCAAAGAAATATCACACAGCCATTAAAAAATGATGGTTTAGCATTCTGGGCAGCATCTAACTCCAGAAATGTGTTAAAGTTTTACAAGGGGTGGTAGGTGGGGGAAATGAACCTAATAAAGATGTAAGTCAAACAAACCGTGGGAAAATATTTTAAACATATGACAAAGAATTTACATTCTAATAAAAAGATCTTACAAATAAAAATGAAAAGATGGGCACCCAATAGAAAAATGAGCAATGGATATAAATAGGTAATTCACAAAGATAAATAAAATGGCCAATAAATCATACCAATAACTAAATACAAATTTAAACTAGAATACATTTTTTTGTCTCTCAAAAGTGCATAACTTTTTCCACAGCAATTATACATGCAGATTATTATCCTAAGAAAATAACTGAGTAGGGGGCCGGCCCCGTGGCTTAGCAGTTAAGTGCATGCACTCCACTACTGGTGGCCCGGGTTCGGATCCCGGGCGTGCACCGCTCGTCCGGCCATGCTGAGGCAGCGTCCTACATATGGCAACTAGAAGGATGTGCAACTATAACATACAACTATCTACTGGGGCTTTGGGGAGAAAAAGGGGAAAAAAGGGAGGAGGACTGGCAACAGATGTTAGCTCAGGGCTGATCTTCCTCATGAAAAAAAAAAAAAAGAAAAAGAAAATAACTGAGTAAATATAGAGAAACATATGTACTAAGTCAACACAGTATTATTTTTAACAATGAAAAACTGGAACAAAAATCTTAAGAGACCAACAAAGGAGAATTAAATAAATTATAATATATACACACATTAGAAAACTTTGCATCAATTAAAATTATTTAGATCTATATTCAACATAAAAAGATATTCATTATATAGCAGGTAAAAAAAGGCTAAAACCACATTATTAAATCTCATTTTTTATTAGCTATATTTGTGTGTGAATGTGTATATACATACATACATACGCACACACACAGTTTTGTGTCTGTCTCCCACACAAGTACTAACCAGGTCCAACCCTACTTAGGTTCCACAAGATCAGACAAGATTGAGGACATTCAAGGTGGTATGGCCATAGATAGACTGACTGTTCGTCTAACTATCTATTGAGATATTGGAAGGATATACACTAAAATATCAACCCTGATAGAATTCATAACTAGTTTTTCTTTTAGCTTATTTTTTTCCTGATTTTGATTTAATGAGCATGCATCACTTGTGTAATTTTTAAGTTAAAATAAAGACTCTATAGCAACCTGGGGAAATGCTTGGTATGAAAATCTTAGCACAAAATATCTAAACTATGATTTCAACTGGAGTCAACTCTTGATTAATCGGAATAAGGACAGTGATATTCAGAGGATCACTGAAAATCACTGTCTACAACCAATGGTTCTCAAAGTGTGGTCCTGGGCTAGTGGAATCAGCACCATCTGGGAACTTGTTAGAAATCCTTATTCTTAGGCCCACCCCAGATCTACTGAATCAGAAACTCTGGGGATGAGGCCCAGCATTTGTGTTTTAACAAGTCTTCCACGTGATTTTGATGCTTGCTAAGGTTTAAGAAACTATACTCAATTCGTGATGATCTAGAGAAGGTGCAATGTGGAGCAGGAACGTCTTAGTAACTTAGTAATTAGGCAACAACTGATTAGCTCTTATTAACCCCTTCTCTTACAATTATAGTGGGGAGGAGAGGGTTGGAGGGAGTAATGTCAAGTGAGTGTAACTGAAGGCCCCTGATTTACTTGCAACCATATCAGTTCACAATCATCCCCTAAAACAGCCAGATATTAAAAGAAAAAAAAAAAAGGCATAATGTAAAAAACAGTGAAAGAAAATACACCAAAACGCTAATGGTGATTATGTTAAGGTTTATTTTTTCTTTTCTCTCTTATCTGTTAATGTAGTAATAGCACTTTTTAAACATTTTAAGAAAAACATTTTAAAATCAGATGAAAACCTAAATCAATTTATTTAAACAATCTACTTGAAGAAATACTTCAACTAAGCTGTTTAAAGTATACAGAGTAGATCTTGGAAGCAGGGTGAATTTCTAAGCTAGCTTTGTAAATTGGGTTTAATACCTCAGTAGTCTTTTAATGAAAAGAAAAAATACCTAGGCCATGTGATTTCTCCAGAGTCACCCAAAATGACAAAACTGTGTACACTACTCTTCTTATACAGCCATATCTTGGAAAGATAGCTTATTCCTAACAATGACAGCATCCCCAACACCACCACCCTCACTTCTTTGTGGTAGTTTCTCTAATTCTGTTTCAAAATTTGGCTAGTTTTCTTTAACAACTCTCCCTCAACTGTCCAAACCAATAAACTTGACCCGTATAATTGATAAACCAAAATCTAAATAATTTTCTTAAAACCACCATCAGCATGGATTTCCTGTGAGCCCCCAAAATTGCAAACAAAATAAGGTTCAAGTGATCTCCAAGCTTTCTCACTTCTGTCTTGACTCTTCTGTTAATCTCCAAAATATATTGACAATAAATCCATTTTGAGACTCAGACTAAGCAGCCAGCGGTATAAGGTGGGCAGAAGAACACTAAACGATAAGCAAGGTGTGTGTGCTTCCAACTGTGTACTTTTAGGCAAATCATGCAGTCTGTATGCTTCCATTCTACTTAAATAAGTGGCTGTAAAAGTCAGATGACCCCATAAACCAGGAGTTACCTTTAAAAAGAGTAGACTCTGATAAGTGAAACCAGTTGGCCTCCATGACCTGCACGGTGTATCTGATGCTAGAGGCAGTCACCCCCTCAGCAGGCCCAGCACACAAGCTGGTAAAAATCTGTGACTGCGAGGATGAAAGGAAAAATAACACCCAAACTTCCGACTTCACTGTAGTCTGTAGTCCAGGATACATACAGTCACACTTCGAAGAACCTGAGATTTTCTATGTGGTCTAGTTTTTTTGGTTTTGATTTGGTTTTAAATAAATGTTTTACGAGACATTTGAAAAGAATGAGAATAAACTTATCATCATATGCAATTAACCATTAAATGAAGCACACTGAGGAAATTAATTTTTTAACGTAAATCCTCCATTTAATCCGTCAAAAGCTGAGAAAACTGTTTTGAATCTCCTACTAGGACTCTGGTTTAATTAAATTGTCTTTAAGTTTCCAACTATTTTTTCTTCATCTACTTCACATAAAAGTTTTGATTCATAAAATTAAAAAATCGTGATAAACTGCATCTTTCATCAGTAAAAACATCATCTTTAGTCAGTTTAAGGATGCACCCTTAAATATAACTTCTTGGAAATAAAAATAAACCCCAAACCATCCTCTAAATAAGCCCTGTGTCAAAAAGGAATAAAAGGATAGAGGTTCTAGTTCTGTCATGGCAGTGTAGCAATCATCTTATTTAACTGATTATAGCTAAAAACTCTAGAGAGAGTACAAAAAACCAAATACCTGAGGATTCTGAAAAGTAAACAAAAGCAGCTAAATTGCAGAGAGAGGCAAAATTTGAAGAAGCAGCTGCACGGGATGAGTTTCCCGATTTTCTTTTTCTCTCTATGGCTTTGCCCTGAGAGTAGAACCCAGTCAAGGAGCAACACTGCTGCAGTGACCATGGAGAGGCCTAAAACCCCATCTTCCTGGCCAGATGAACCACTAAAAGGAGCCCCAGGGGGAGCTGAAGAGTGAGGGGAGAATCCCAGAGTAAAGAGAGCTAGAGAAGGAATTCTAATTCTGGTATGAACACACACAGGCCTCAGGGTCACCCCTGAGCTACTCATGCATGGAACCGTCCCAACCCAGCCTTAAGAACTGAGGTGATATTTGAACCAGGACCCACCAAAGGTGAAACAGAACTGGCTTGCAGTCAGAACCTAAGGAGATTCAACATTTTCCAGAGGATTACACAGGACCCAGAGTCTACACAACATAATCAGAAAGTCCAGGATTCAATCCAAAATCATTTGATATAGGAAAAAATGAGGAAAATATGACCATTTCTCAAGGGAAAAGACAATCAACATATTCTAACTGCAAGATGACTCAGATATTGGATTTATCAAAGACTTGAAATCATCTAGTATAACTATGCTCCAAAAGGTAAAGAAAAACATGCTTGAAATTAAAAAAAATTTTCAGCATATAAACTATAAAAAAGAAAAAATGAAAATTATAGAAATGAAAAATACTAAAAACTCACTCAATGGGCTCAACAACAGAACAAAAATGGCAGTGGAAAAGGTTAGTAAAATTGAAGACAGATCAATAGAAATTATCCTATCTGCAGAACAGAGAAAAAAGACTGGGAGAAGAAAAAAAAAAAGAGCCTCAAGGAGACCTGTAGGATAGCAACAAAAGGTCTAGTATATGTGTCATTGGAGTCTCAGAAGGAGAGAAGAGATCAAGGAAGAAAATTATTTGAAGAAATGATGGTAAAGAACTTTTCTAATTTAGTGACAGACATGAGTTTTTAGATTCAAGATCAGGGAACCCCAAACAGGAAGAAAATCATGTCTAGACACATCATAATCAAACTGCTACAAACTAAACATAAAGAACAAGTCTTGATCACCTCACATCCAGTAGAATGGCCACTATCAAAACAAACAAACAGAAAATAACAAATGTTGGTGAGGATGTAGAGAAACTGGAACCCTTGTGCACTGCTGGCAGAAATGCAAAATGGTGCATGCTGTGGAAAACAGTATGGCCGTTCCTCAAAAAATTAAAAATAGAATTACTATATGATCCAGCAATTCCATTTCTGGGTATAGATCCAAAAGAATTCAAAGCAGGATATCAAAGAGATCTTTGTACCCTCATGTTCATAGCAGCATTATTCACAATAGCCAAGACATGGAAGCAACCAAAATGTCCGTCAGTGGATGAATGAATAAACAAAATGTGGTACAT